GTTCCTCTGCCGTCTCCTCCTGCGTCTTTTCTGCCTGTCGTTGCGGACCCTGAGTCTGACCGGTTTCGTGCTGAGCACCCTACTGTCACGCGTCTGCTAGCCACTGTTGTCACTGACCCGTCGTTTGAGTCTGCTGCTGCGTCTACCTTTGTCGCTGAGCTGGTTGACATTGCTGCTGCCTGTCGTCTAGACTACGCTGCTAGTCTTGTTGCTGAGTCTGAGTCTGTCTGTCCTCCGTCCGTCGGGGGTGAGTGTGCTCTTGGCACGGACGTCCTTGAGGACAGACAGGAGGACCTTGAGTGTCTTGCAGCCGCTGCGCCTCATCTCCTGTCCATGCTGCTTGCCCCTGAGGGAGACCCGGATGCTCCTGACATCCCGACCCCGCGCTCTTACGCTGAGGCGATCGCGGGTGAGTACTCCTCTCAGTGGCAGACAGCCATGGACGCAGAGATGGCATCCTGGAAGTCCACAGGCACTTACGTCGACGAGGTTCCCCCTCCTGGGGCGAACATCGTCAGTGGCATGTGGATTTTCAGGGTGAAGCGGCCGCCAAGTTCTCCGCCTATCTTCAAGGCTCGTTACGTTGCTCGAGGCTTCAGTCAGCGGGAGGGAGTCGACTTCTTCCAGACCTTCTCCCCTACCCCGAAGATGACCACTCTTCGGGTACTGCTCCACGTCGCCGCTTAGCGTGACTACGAGCTTCACTCTCTTGACTTCAGCACAGCGTTCTTACAGGGCAGCCTGCACGAGGAGATCTGGCTGCGCCGCCCTCCTGGCTTCACTGGGTCGTTCCCTCCTGGTACCCAGTGGAGCCTCCGGCGGCCGGTCTACGGTCTCCGCCAGGCGCCACGTGAGTGGCACGACACACTGAGGACGAGACTTGCTACTCTTGGGTTTGCTCCATCGACTGCTGACCCGTCGCTGTTTCTGCGCACCGACACTTCGCTGCCGCCGTTCTACATCCTCGTGTACGTCGACGACTTGGTCTTTGCCACTGCTGACACTGAGGCTCTCGCCCTGGTGAAGTCGGAGCTGCAGAAGAGACACACGTGCACAGACGTGGGTGAGCTGCGCAGTTACCTTGGCTTGCAGATCACCCGGGACAGAGCACGCCGCACCATCACCCTGACTCAGTCACACATGGTGCAGCAGGTCCTTCAGCGCTTCGGCTTCACCTGGTCCTCGGCACAGGCCACTCCTCTGGCTACAGATCACTCGCTCTCAGCTCCACCTTCGCACGAGTTCGTAGAGCCGAGTGGTCCTTACCCAGAGCTAGTTGGCTGCCTCATGTACCTGATGACCTGCACTCGTCCTGACCTCGCGTACCCTCTTGGCCTTCTGGCCCGCTACGTGGCTCCTGGTCGGCACCGAAAGGTGCACATGGATGCTGCTAAGAGGGTACTGCGCTACTTGTGCAGTACATCGGGCATGGGGCTCGTGCTTGGAGGACGGGGCGACGTTGTCCTCACTGCTCACTCGGACGCTTCTTGGGTTGACGACCAGGCTACGCAGTGGTTGTTACAGGGTTACATTTTCAGCCTTGCCTCTGGTTCAGTTTCTTGGCGTCTACACGCTTGTCTTCAGTTTTCAGCTCCAGTTGTGAGGCTGAGATCTACGCCACAGCCATGGCTGCACAGGAGTTACGCTGGCTCACCTACCTGCTGACCGACTTGGGAGAGCGGCCTCGTTCTCCTCCAGTGCTGTACGTCGACAACAAGGCCGCCATTGCCTTGTGTCAGGAGCACAGACTGGAGCACAGAACGAAGCACATCGCTCTGCGTTACTTCTTGGCTCGAGAGTTGCAGCAGCGTGGTCAGCTTCGTCTTGCTCACGTGGCCACTCGGGCCAACACTGCTGATATATTCACCAAGGCACTTCCGTCTGGTGATCATCAGCGTTTCTGCACTTTGTTAGGTCTTGTGCCCACTTTTCCTCACTTGCTGTAGACTTTGCTTGTACTGTTGTTGTTGCATATATACCTCTGCATGTGAACTGGCCTTGTGGCCCTTTGCTTGTGCTCAGTGTGTGTGGTGACGTTGTGATCCACCCTGAGTTTGCTTTGCTTCTCTTGACTGGTCTTGTGACCCCTTACTCTCCCCCACTTTGCCTATGGGGGTGTGTCAAATTATATGCCTATGTCATAATAAAATGTAGGCTTTAGTGGGGTAGCTAATATTGGGTATAGTTTTTTTGTTACTGGTACCCAACTTTCTCGATAGTGCAACCACCCTTTTCCCTTTACTCTCGACAGCTGTCGCGTTTTTTCTACCCCAAAATGTCCCGAGGTAATCCCGTCGTCTGCCTCTTGCAGTAACAGTTCCCTCAGCAGGGAGTACGCGGGTACCCAAATGCGGTTGGTGCCTGTTTTTACGTAATAGACTCCTTTTGCTTCAGCCAGTTGCTGTGAATTTCCAGTCGTGAAAAATGGGTCGGTACTGTATCCGTGGGTGAATAGGCCTGTTAGCAGCGGGTTGGTTTGGGCGAGTAGGATGGCGTGGAGTTGGGCGGTGGGGCGTGTGAGTGCGTCGGCGATGTTGGATGCACCTTTTTTGTACGTGACGGTGTAGTGGAAGTTGGACTCCAGATAGTCCAACCAGCGAATCTGTCGTGGGTTGAGGTTCGGTTGGGCGCGAAGGTACTGTAGTGATCGGTGGTCTGTCCGTACTGTCACGTCTGCTCTCGTGAGGTAACATCGCCATACCTTGAACGCGTGCACGATCGCCAGCATCTCGCGGTCGTGTATCGGGTAGTTGCGTTCGGGCGGGTGAAGCTTGCGGGACTCGTACGCGATTGGCTGGAGGCCGTTCCCGAAGTCCTGCAACGGTACTGCTCCCACAACGATGTCGCTAGCGTCGGTGATGAGCTCGAACGGACGATGCGGATCTGCGATGTGAAGCACAGGTGGCGAGCACAAAATTTCTTTGAGGGCCGAGAAGGCAGCTTGCTCTTTCTCCCCCCACGTGTACTCAACCCCCTTCCTCAGCAGGTCGGTCAGCGGGGCAGTCAACTTCGCCATGTCGGGGACGAACCGTCGCACGTAGTTGACGAACCCCAGAATACTCTGCAACTCAGTCAAGTTTGTCGGCGCGTGCCATGCTTGAATCGTCGCGATCTTCTTCGGGTCTATTTCCACTCCTTCAGCTGAAATAATGTGTCCCAAAAACTCCAGTCGGTCCTGTAAAAACTCACACTTAGAAGCTTTGGTCAGTAGGCGGTTCGCGCTCAGTATTTTAAAAACTGCTTCGATGTCCTGTAAGTGCTGTGCGCGGTCGGGGCTGTAAATCAGTATGTCGTCGAGGTACACGATGACGCACTTATCTAAAAGCGGGCGGAAAGCTTCGTTCATTGTCATTTGAAAAGTGGCGGGGGCGTTGGTTAGTCCGAAGGGCATCACGGTGTATTCGAAGGATCCGTAGCGTGTTCGGAAAGCTGTCTTGGGGCAGTCGGGTGGGTTGACGCGAATCTGGTGGTAACCTCCTCTGAGGTCGATTTTCGAGAAAACCCGGGCTGTGCGCAGTTGGTCGATCAGTTCGTCGGCTCGTGGGATGGGGTAACGGGACTTAATGGTAACCATGTTCAGTGCTCTATAATCTATGCACATGCGAAAACCCCCGTCCTTTTTCGGCGTGAACAGTATCGGTGCTGCGAAGGGTGACGAACTCGGGCGAATGAACTCCTTTTCAAGCAGGTAATCCAGCTGCTTCCTTGGTTCGTCTAGTTCGGGTTGGGTCAGTCGGAACTGTTGTTGTACTGTCGGCTGTGCCCCCGGTTCTAGTTCTATCCTGTGGTCGTGCGGTCGCTGAGGTGGCAGTCCCGTCGGCAGATCGTCCGGAAATATGTCACTGTACTGCTTCAGGAGTGCTGCCAGGTCATCCGGTACGTCGGCTAGCAGTTTCTGTAAATCCCCCCCTTTGTCTGCTGCCTCGGCTTCCCGAATGTCAAACGCGTACACGTCAGCTCCTGCCGCTACGGCGCGCTTCATTGTGATCGCGTTGACACGCACCGACGAAGACTCAGGCGAGCCCCAGCGAGGTAAGGCGATGTTGTTACCGTTCACTCGCACCGTGCAGTCACCCGTCGTCCAGTCGATTCGCGGATTGTGTCGTCGCAGCCAATCACGACCGAGTAAAATGTCGATTCCGTCGAGGGTTGTCGCGAGCATTTCCTAGCTAAACGCGAAGTTACCCCCGCATCGAATCCGAACCCGGTCTACGCGTTCCCGTATCGCCAGTGGCGTGCCGTCAACCAGTCTTGCATCGATCTCAGGTAAGCATCTGTCCAGTGGCAGTTTCAGTTTCCGTGTTGTGGCAGTGTTGATGAGGCTGTGGCTGGCTCCCCCGTCTACGAAGATTTTAACTAAGTCGGTCCCGATTTTCCCACTAAGCAGTATGGGGCTGTCTACCGTAGTACCCTCCTTATTCGGCCGGGTGTGGTCGATTGCGTGAACCGGCACAATCACTCGGTGAGGGTCGGTTGGGTCGGGCGAGCGGCGTGACCTGTCAGTAGAGGGCCCGTCTGCTACTGACTCCCAGCGTTTCCCTGCTGCTTGGTCTGTTTCTGCTGCTCAGCTTTCCCCTTTCCCTTGGCGTTTTCCGGGCATTCGCTCTTACGGTGTCCCGGTCGATTGCACGCGAAGCAGCTGTCAGAATGAGTGAAGTGATTGAACTAGGAAGATTGGGGATACAAGTATGAAACACTAGAGTATTGTACCCCCTAAAGGCTAACCCACTGTAGCCTACACAGCAGTAACATATATAATGTTTGACACACCCCCATAGGAGAAGTGGGGGAGAGCAAGGGGTCACAAGACCAGTCAAAGCAAAGCAAAGCAAAACAAGCTCAGGGTGGATCTCAAGGATACCACACAAATTCCGAGCACAAGCAAGCGGTCACAAGACCAGTTCACATGCAGTTTGATAATATAACAAGAGGTACAGTGATCACAACCTAGCAAGTGTAAGCATGCAGGTATATATATAGAGATCACCGTACAAGCAGAGTCAAGAAGTGAGCAAGTGAGGGACAGTAGGCACAAGGCCTAGAACAGTACAGAAACGCTGATGATCACAAGGCTGAAGCGCCTTGGTGAACACATCAGCAGTGTTGGCCCGAGTGGCCACGTAAGCAAGACGAAGCTGACCACGCTGCTGCAACTCTCGAGCAAGGAAGTAGCGCATAGCGATGTGCTTCGTTCTGTGCTCCAGTCTGTGCTCCTGACACAAGGCAATGGCGGCCTTGTTGTCGACGTACAGCACTGGAGGAGAACGAGGCCGCTCTCCCAGGTCGGTCAGCAGGTAGGTGAGCCAGCGTAACTCCTGTGCAGCCATGGCTGTGGCGTAGATCTCAGCCTCACAACTGGAGCTGAGAACTGAAGAAGAGCGTGTAGAACGCCAAGAAACTGAACCAGAGCCAAGGCTGAAGGTGTAACCCTGAGACAACCGCTGCGTAGCCTGGTCATCAGCCCAAGAAGCGTCTGAGTGCCCAGTGAGAACAACGTCGCTCCGTCCTCCAAGCACAAGCCCCATGCCCGACGTACTGCACAAGTAGCGCAACACCCTCTTAGCGGCATCCATGTGCTCCTTCCGGTGACGGCCAGGAGCGACATAGCGTGCTAGGATGCTAAGAGGGTATGCAAGGTCAGGTCGAGTGCAGGTCATCAGGTACATGAGGCAGCCCACAAGCTCTGGATACGGGCCACTCGGCTCTACGGACTCATCCGAAGGCAGAGCTGAGAGCGAGTGACCGGTAGGCAGAGGAGTGGGCTGAGGCGAGGAGTACGTGAAGCGGAAGTGCTGAAGGACCTGCTGCACCATGTGTGACTGAGTCAAGGTGATGGTGCGCTGTGCTCTGTCCCGGGTGATCCGCAAGCCAAGATAGCTTGTCAGCTCACCCAGGTCTGTGCACGTGTGTCTCTTCTGCAGCTCCGACTTCACGTGGGCGAGTGCCTCAGTGTCAGCAGTAGCAAAGACCAGGTCGTCTACGTACACGAGAAAGTAGAACGGCGGCAGAGTGGTGTCGGTGCGTAGAAACAGCGACGGGTCAGCAGTAGAAGGAGCAAACCCAAGAGCAGCAAGAGTCGTCCTCAGTGTGTCGTGCCACTCACGGGGTGCCTGGCGGAGACCGTAGACTGGCCGCCGAAGGCTCCACTGGGTACCAGCAGGGAACGACCCAGTGAAGCCAGGTGGGCGGCGCAGCCAGATCTCCTCGTGCAGGCTGCCCTGTAGGAAAGCAGTGCTGAAGTCAAGAGAGTGGAGCTCGTAGTCACGCTGAGCGGCGACGTGCAGCAGAACCCGAAGAGTGGTCATCTTCGGGGTCGGGGAGAAGGTCTGGAAGAAGTCAACTCCCTCTCGCTGACTGAAGCCTCGTGCAACGTAACGCGCCTTGAAGACAGGCGGAGAACCCGGCAGCCGCTTCACCCTGAAAATCCACATGCCACTGACGATGTTCGCCCCAGGTGGGGGAACCTCGTCAACGTAGGTGCCTGTGGACTTCCAGGAAGCCATCTCTGCGTCCATGGCTGTCTGCCACTGAGAGGAGTAGGGACCCTCTATCGCCTCTGCGTAAGAGCGCGGGGTCGGGATGTCTGGTGCATCCGGGTCTCCCTCAGGGGCAATCAGCATGGACACGAGATGAGGTAAAGCAGCGGCAAAGCACTCAAACTCCTCCTGTCTATCCTCAAGGACGTCCGTGCCAAGAGCACACTCACCCCCGACGGACGGAGGACAGACAGACTCAGACTCAGCAACAAGGCTAGCGGCGTAGTCTAGACGACAGGCGGCAGCAAAGTCAACAAGCTCAGCAACTAGAGCAGACGCAGCAGTGGACTCAAAGGAAGGGTCAGTGACAACAGTAGCGAGAAGACGCGTGACAGTAGGACTGGCAGCACGAGCAAGGTCTGACGGCGGGTCAGCAACGTCAGGAAGAGAGGACGCAGGAGGAGACGGCAGAGGGACACGCTGAGGAGCAGTGGAAGGACGCAGAGTCATATAGTGTGTGCCAAGGACAGGAGGAGGACGCTGACGCGGAGCACGACGACCAGTGCGGACAGCGGGAGCTGACGACTCGGGACGAGACTCAGGCAACTCAGGACGAGACTCAGGCGACGTAGGACGAGACTCAGGCTCACGACGCTCCGTAAGACCTCTAGTCGGCCCAGCGTAAGGAGAAGGACCAGGCAGTGGAGAGGCAAGCGGAAACTGTGACTGCGACTGGACAGGTGGTGGACTCAGTAGGGGAGGAGAAGGACCAGTGGAGGGCGGGAGGCCAAGAACCTGCTGAAGGAGCGGAACATAGTACGGTCGCGGCCGCTCAGCACCTCCTGAACCAGCAGAGGCAGCACCAGCACCCTCAGCCCCAGGGTCTCCAGCGACAACTCCCGCAGCACCACCAGTAACCCCAGCAGCTCCAGTACCTCCAGCTCCAACCCCCGCAGCAGCTCCAGTCCCAGCAGCTCCAGTACCTCCAGTACGAGCACCTCCAGAACCAGCGGCTCCAGGAGCTCCAGCACCAGCAGCACCTCCAGCAGCACCTGCACCAGCAGCACCTCCAGCAGCACCAGCAGCACCAGCAGCGCCTCCAGCAGCTCCAGCACCAGCAGCACCTCCAGTAGCTCCAGCACCAGCAGCACCTCCAGCAGCACCACCAGCAGCTCCAACTCCAGTGTCCTCAGCACCAGCAGCAGCTCCAACTCCAGGGTCCGCGGCACCAGCAGCAGCTCCAGCTCCAGGGTCCAAAGCACCAGCAGCGCCACTCCGGAGACTGCAGCGCCGAGCGTACCACTCTCGGAGCCGCTGGGGAGAGGGCGGATCCCGCCTAGGCGGGGAACCACTAGCACCAGCTCCAGCAGCACCCCTAGCCCCAGAAGCGCCCCTCCTGAGGCTGCAGTACCGCGAGTACCACTCACGCAGCTGCTGTGAAGAGGGAGCGCCTCCAGGCGCCGTACTGTCAGTCGCAGCACCCCCAGGCTCAGTACCCTCAGACGTAGCACTCTCAGGCTCAGCACCCCCAGACTCAGCAACCTCAGGCTCAGCACCCCCAGGCTCCGCACCCCCAGGCTCAGCACCCCCAGGCTCCGCACGCTCAGGCTCAGCACCCCCAGGCTCCGCACCCCCAGGCTCCGCACGCTCAGGCTCAGCACACCTAGCAGGACGAGAGTCGACAGCTACCTCGACAGGCTCAACCGGGTCTACCTGGGACACACCTGAGGGAGCGGCACCCTGAGGGGGGAGGGGGTCTACCACAGGAGCACCTAGTGCGAGGAAGAGAGGCGGGGGGGGGAGCGGGGCAGTGCGGTAGGGGAAGAGGCGGTAGTAGGGGACCGACTCGTCAAAAGTGACGTCCTGAGAGGGCAGGACACGGCGCGAGGTGGCGTGGTAAAACTGCCAACCAGACGCGTCCGGGACAAAGCCAAGGAAGACACAAGGAACAGCGCGGGAGGAGAGCTTGTCCGCGGACGCATCGCGGACAAAAGCACGAGATCCCCAGACCCGGAACACTGACGCATCGCCAACCTCTCCCGTCCAACGCAGTGTCGGCGAAGTCTCCGGAACGGAGACACGGGGCCAGAGGTTGAGCTGATGCGCAGCGTATCGGACCGCAAACGGCCACAGAAAGTGGGGGGCAGCCGCATGGATCAAGGAGGTACGAGAGACCTCCATGACCAAGCCAATGCGGCGCTCAGCAACCCCATTCTGCTGTGGAGAGGCCGGAAGCGTGAACGACTGCTCAATGCCCTCCCCACGACAAAAGTCCCGCAAGAGGTCAGAGGAAAACTCCCCACCTCTGTCAGAGTGTAGACGCAGTACAGGAAGGTCTGAGTGGAACCTCTCGCTGAGCTGGAGACGGGTAGCGCGGATCCAAGGGATCAAAACATCAGGGACTTCACCCTTGGTGCGCAAGGGGAAGACCGTGGTGTAGCGCGAGTAGTCGTCAACAACTTTCAAGAAGTACCTCTCGTGACCCTGTCCACGGACGCGGGCTGGGCCCCACACGTCCATGTGGAGCGTCTGCAGGGGAGCAGTCGTCGGGGGAAACGAGGAGGAGTGAGGAGCGGCGCGCTGCCGCCCCTCGACACAGGGAAGACAGGGAGGAGCAGGCGAGGGTGGGAGGGGAGGGAGAACCCTGGGAAGACCAGAGACAAGGTACCGGGAGTGCATGCCACGAAGGCGCTGCACTGACGGGTGACCAAGGCGGTGGTGCCAGAGGACGGTCTCGTGCGACAGGGAGCGACACGAGCAGGGGGCCGACAGCTGACCTGACGCAGACGCAGACGCAGCTACCTGGGGGGACTCAGTGGTCAGTGTGTACAGGTCCGACCCCGGCTGCCGAGTGAAGGTAGCCAGGTGGCGATTCGTCCGAGCACACGTGCAGTGTGTCACGCGCTCGAAGGCAGGGGTGAACTGGTGGACACCCCCGTCCTGGAGCGCACGACCCGCCACCAAGTTCGTAGAGAACGAGGGGAGGTAGAGACCTGACAGTGTGCCCGACGGGACCGCAGGACAAGGAAGGACAGTGGAGGAGGTCGCAATGACCGGACCCCCAGAGGGGTCAGCGAGGGAGACTACAACTGGCCGAGCAAGCTGCTCAAGGGCAGTGCGGTCACGAAAGAAACAGCGGGAAGCACCCGAGTCCAGTGTGAAGGTGTGCAGTGCCTCAGTAGACGCAGTACCAGCAGGCGCAGACGCACGAGCACCTGGAGCAGCAGACTCACTAGCACCTAGAGCAGCAGCCTGACCAGTACCTAGGGCAGCAGACGCACTAGCACCTAGAGCGGCAGCCTGACCAGTACCTAGGGCAGCAGACGCACTAGCACCTAGAGCGGCAGCCTCACTGGTCCCAATATCCGGGTCTGGCGGTACACGCAGGTAAGAGTCACCCTCAACACTAATAGTCAATGCATACATGGCCCCAAGGATAGCATCAAAGTCAAGTGCAAAGATATCAATGTTCTTTTTCATCAGATCAGCCCAGCGGGGCAGCTCAGTGGCGTCAGGAAACTGTGCACGCCAGGCGTCGTCGAGACGAAAGAAGCAGCGGTGTGCTGTGTGGAACCTCCCACAGGTCTGGCCAGTGCGGTCACCTGTGCGGATAAGGTACGGGCAAGTACCTCCACCCCCAGACCCCCCACGCTGAGAGTACCACTCACGGAGCTGCTGGGGGGACGGGGTCTCGCCGGGACGCTGCTGCTGCTGCCTCTGGCCACCACCGACCCCTCCACGCTGCACCGCTCCACCGCGCCCGCCACCAGCTCCACCGCCGCCACCACTACCACCACCACCCCCGCCACCCCCACTACCGCCGCCGCCACCACCCCCGCCTCCGCCACTCCCCCCCCCTCCACTAGCACCACTCCCACCACCGCCACCACCCCCTCCTCCTCCACCCCCTCCACTACCGCCGCCCCCGCCTCCACCTCCGCCACCCTTGCCCCCCTTGCCCTTGCCGCCCGCAGAGATGGCTTCCTGGAAGTCCACAGGCACCTACGTTGACGAGGTTCCCCCGCCTGGGGCGAACATCGTCAGTGGCATGTGGATTTTCAGGGTGAAGCGGCCGCCGGGTTCTCCGCCTGTCTTCAAGGCGCGTTACGTGGCTCGTGGCTTCAGTCAGCGGCAGGGAGTTGACTACTTTCAGACCTTCTCTCCCACCCCGAAGATGACCACTCTTCGGGTACTGCTGCACATAGCTGCTCACCGCGACTACGAGCTGCACTCTCTTGACTTCAGCACTGCTTTCTTGCAGGGCAGCCTGCACGAGGAGATCTGGCTGCGTCGCCCACCTGGCTTCACTGGGTCTTTTCCTCCTGGCACCCAGTGGAGCCTCCGGCGGCCAGTCTACGGTCTCCGCCAGGCACCGCGTGAGTGGCACGACACACTGAGGACTACACTTGCGGCTCTTGGGTTTGCTCCCTCTACTGCCGACCCGTCGCTGTTTCTGCGCACCGACACTTCTTTGCCGCCGTTCTACATCCTCGTGTACGTCGACGACTTGGTCTTTGCCACAGCTGACACTGCTGGACTCGCCCACGTGAAGTCCGAGCTGCAGAGATCCGGAAATATCCCACTGTACTGCTTTAGGAGTGCTGCCAAGTCATCCGGTATGTCGGCTAGCAGTTTCTGTAAATCCCCCCCTTTGTATGCTGCCTCGGCTTCCCGAATGTCAACCGCGTACACGTCAGCTCCTGCCGCTACGGCGCGTTTCATCGTGATTGCGTTGACACACACCGACGAAGACTCAGGCGAGCCCCAACGAGGTAAGGCGATGTTGTTACCGTTCACTCGCACGGTGCAGTCACCCGTCGTTCAGTCTATTCGCGGGTTGTGTCGTCGCAGCCAATCACGACCGAGTAAAATGACGGTTCCGTCGAGGGTTGTTGCGAGCATTTCCTGACTAAACGTGAAGTTACCCCCGCATCGAATCCGAACCCGGTCCACGCGTTCCCGTATCGCCAGTGGCGTGCCATCAACCAGTCTTGCATCGATCTCAGGTAAGCATCTATCCAGTGGCAGTCTCAGTTTCCGTGCTGTGGCGGTGTTAATCAGGATGTGGCTGGCTCCCCCGTCTACGAATATTTTAACTAAGTCCGTCCCGATTTTCCCACTAAGCATTATGGGGTTGTCTACCGTAGTACCCTCCTGATTCGACCGGGTGTGGTCGATTGCGTGAACCGGCACAATCACTCGGTGAGGGTCGGTTGGGTCGGGCGAGCGGCGTGACCTGTCAGTAGAGGGCCCGTCTGCTACTGACTCCCAGCGTTTCCCCGCTGCTTGGTCTGTTTCTGCTGCTCAGCTTCCCCCTTTCCCTTAGCGTTTTCCGGGCATTCACTCTTGCGGTGTCCCGGCCGATTGCACGCGAAGCAGCGCCCCTTGAACGGTGCGGCAGCGGCATTCGCGGCGACGGCACGTATCGTAGCGCCCTCGTTTGTCCCACGAGATCGATATCCCCAGTTACTGCTACTTCCGTAGGACCCCGGTCTCGGTCGGCGGAAAAAATCAAGTTTCTCCGCCATAGCGAGAATCTCTTGAAAGTCGGTGACGCCGCGAAGCTGGATTTCCTGAGCGATGTCGTGCTTCAGGCCGCCGATGTAGCGGTCGATGCGTTCGCTCTCATGCATATAGCCCACTTGCTCGCATAGCGCCAGAAACCCGCTGATGTAATCCTGGACGGAACCGAGTTGGCGCCAAGTGCGGAGCTTTTGTCGCGCCGCGATCGA